AGAATTTATCGATCATTATCCAAGTATTGTAATCAATGATTATTAAACATTATTGAAAAAAGACTGGATTTTATTAATATTTTTTAAAAAATATGGATATATGAAATCTTTCAAAAATTATCATCCGTAAAAATAAAATGATTTCAAACTGTATAGTTTCAAAATTTTGATCATATTTTTTAGTATACTAATGACTAAACCAAAAAATATACTCAATATACATACTTTAAGAGATATTAAAAATAAAGGGGTGGTTGAGAATTCACTAAGTAAACACACCCCTTTAGGCTATCAGCTTAGTAACATCTGTAAATCAGAACTTGAGAAAACATTGCACGGTAGTATCAAAACTGCTTCTGATATTGCTAATGATTATAAAGACCTGCAGGATGTATATTTAGAATGAGTGAAGGATTTTAATCGTATCTGTTCGGGTTTTAACAATAAGTTTAATCAGCTGAATACAGCTAATAGTGAGCTTGAAGTCAAATATACTGCTGAAATCAAATCGCTCAAATCTTCTATTAAAACACTAAAAAGAGAGCTAACTTTAGCTTAGAAAGCTTTATCCACTGATAAGGTCAAGATTATCTCTCTTGAAACTAAAGTATGAGAATTAGAAGGTAAGTTAGATGACTTAGAACTAGAACAGGTATTTCATGATTCAGATGCAATGGGAGGAGTAATAGAAGAGTCAGCTCTGCCTATGAATGATTTATTGTAAAAGATTCAGGTTAGGTTAATGATAATCTAAGATCTCTCATCCATGAGTGTGGTCTTGAAGATAAAGTTATGGAACTTAATAAAAGTTTTTTTAGAGAAAATATATTAAAGGCTTTGCAAGAGCTATTACCCCAGGATGAGATGGTTTCGAGAAGTCAGACAGATATCCTACCTAATCAATCCATTCATAATCGACCAGCAAATTCTAAATACTTTATTTTGAGGGAAGGGGTTGTGAAGCAATTGGGTGACGCAAAAGTGATGCTATTATCTCAAATAATGTCTTTAGCGAGTTTCTCTAGAATTGCACTAGCTATTTCTACTGTTGAAAATTTCTTAATGTTATATGCTATACTTACCTTATTTCTTCTTGCAGTTATATAAATCATTGGGAAAAAAATTTGGGATTTGTGAAGTATGAATCCAAGAGAAAAAATATAAATAAAAAATATAGGCCAGACATTTATTATTTTAAATCCTAATCAACTACTATATAAGTACTGGCGCAAGTGGAATATTTTCAAATCTTTTCTTAGTATGAGCTAATATGAATCAGTCTTACCAGAACCATCTATTTCAAATTACATACTTGCGTAATGTAGTATTAGTATATTAATATTTAAAAATAAAAAAATTATATGATTTTAACAGGGACGTCCTAGTTGAAATTTGTCAAGAAAATTTTATTAAAATAGTCCATAAAAATACAAAAAAAATCTAGTTATCTCGCTTAAATGAAGAAACTGTAGAGTTTTTTTTTACATTCTGATTTGATCTTTTTAAAGGTGCATTGTAAAGTATACTCATATTAACAATTAGAATATTTCACAATATCAGTAATGATTCTATGAATTTTTTTACAATAGACGGATCTGATAGCTGAACTGGAATTTCTGATTCATAAATACAATAATATCAATGGACCTCGCTCATATCCCTTATAAGAACACTTAAATATAATTTCTTTCCAGCTATCTGCATCCCAATAATCCTAAATTCGTTCTTATCAGGTTTACAACTTTTACGAGTCTAGTACATCCCATCATTAATCTCACACCACAGCTTTACTTGATTATCTCTTTCCTTTTACGCTATACATGATAAACGTAAGCATTCAGTAAATAAAAGTTCGTAATTTTTTCTATTATGTTTTATTACAAATATAATATCTGGCTGTCTCCCAGTTTATCTATCGTCTTTTCTATCCGTGCTGGCACTATTTTGCATTCAGAACTGCTAACAAATGTGGTTTTTCTTAGAGGAAGATTCTTCAATGTTGCCTGAATAGCCAGTACTATCACATTAGTCACATAAGTACCTTCATTCAGGAATTTCACAAAATTCATTCCAAATGCAGGATTATTCCAAGAATCACGTCTAATATAAATAAAAATGAGTGGAGAGCAGAAAATCATTAAATATTTTAAAATATCATAAAAAATATTTACAATGTATCCAAAATTCTCTTCACAATTATTTCAAGCTCGTTTTCTGTTTCTTTTCATATCCCATCATGTATAAGTTTCCTTAGAAGATCAATTTTACGATTTTTAATAAAATTAGCAACGAATTTATTACATTTTCTTTTTACTATGAATGGAAAAGATAAAGGTATTATTTGTTATACTGGCTTCATAAAAGTGTACCTAAATTGGTCTGGCAACTTTTTTACAACTTCTGACTCATCAGAAATTACTTGACTAGCTAGAGAATCTATCTATGATAATTCAGAAATATTCACACTATTTATACCATAGTATAGATGCTAGTTAATCAGTGTCGTTGTATTTTTCTTGAGTTTGCCTTTTAATTCATTTATATTTTTTTCAATCTCATCGAAGTTAAGAGGTCTTTTTTTATTCATTTTAACTACTCCTATATCACGCAAATTGCAGACTCCTTCAAAAGTAATCTCAAACTAATATAATTAGATGATGCGTTAGTTTCAATAATATAATAATCTCATCATTAAAAAATGCATACGCTATCAATACATGTGCAAAGTTATTATCTTAGTATAGACATCACGTCAATGAAACCTTGTGTAATACTAAATAATTACATAATATTTTACGGATTAATCACCCCCTTATGCATCGAGAAATATTCTTAGGGCAGAGCTAATGAAATGATTAAAACATAAGCAATAGTTTATACATCCTCCATGTAGTTCAAAAAATAGTTTCTTTAAATGCAGGCTAATAAGATAAATACACTATCATTTCAGATCTTATTCGTGCGAATGAATCACATAATATCATCATTTAGTGAAAAAGAAATATTAGTAAAGCTTTATAACTAACTTGAGGAAGTATTTGAAGAAGTTTTAATTGACATGAAGGTTCTTCAACATAAAGATTACTAGCAAACCTTATGGCTTAGTTTACAATACTTCTTAAATCATTTAGTGAAATCCAGGAATCTTCTTCTATTTCCTGATAAATGACCGAAGTGGTAGTAATATATTCTTGCTTAGCAGTTACTAAAAAATTGTAAATTTTCAAGTATAGTTCAGAAGACATAATTTTGTGTTATTAATATAGAATAAGTGATCTGAACATAAATTTTTCATACTGCCCTTTTAAATGTTACTATTTCTCATTCTCTTCATGTTGGGAAAGAGGAGAATATGTGAGGCACTTTACGCTCATATTTGAGAATAAAAGCATATAGAATATGCATTGTAGATCTCAATATTACATCATATATACTTTAATGATGATTAAAAACATGCTAATTTATGTTATACATACCAACATTTGTCCTTGAAGCACTTCACATAGCTGGAAAATATTTTATTAAGACAATATTCGAAATCTTCCTCAAAAAATACTTTATTAAAATTGTTATACAGTATATTGCTGAAGATCTAACCCTACAAATTATGCATAGCACCTTTGGCTAATTTCACTAAACGATCATGTAGTACAAAAATAAATTATATTAGTTAAACTGGTTAAACAATCATGATTTTTGTTCCATCTTTCAATCTTAACATTATACCTTTTAGCTGATTAAGATGGTTTAAGTTATTTTGTTTTGCGTATTTAGATGAAATAAATATTTCGCTTGTATTGTTTCGGTAATTTGATAATTAATAAGAAGTTGATAAAATATTTTCTTGCCTAGCAGGTGAAATACAAGCTGGCTCGAAATTTGGAGCACTTGGTATAGTATTTTTTCCTACAGTTGCAGTTTTAGCCTTGAAGCAAGAGAAATTCCAATGATTTTTTATCAAATCTTCAGATTCAACTTCATAAGCCCATCTTCCCCAACTACTATAATATTCCTTTTTAGACTCTATTTCAGTAATCTTTACCAATTTCCAGCATTTGAAGCAAATAGCCATTTGGCTTCTATGGACACTAGGCCTACGATATCTAAAGTGATCTTCAAATAACTTACCATTAATATAAAATGTTTTGGATTCTAATTGTCCAAAGGAAGCGAAGAGGCAATACACATAATATAAACTATATCCTTGCTTAGAAAGTAGTAGTTCTTGCAGAAGACCTCTTACACGATTAGCCTATTGCTGGGGTGTTTCATGAGGTCTAATAATAGACAACTAATCATATTGCTTTTCTATTTTGACCACTTTTTCGTACTGATAGTTATCAGTTTGAGGATGACAGTTAAAAAGTTTAGGTATAGTTTTATTATAAACCCTGTCTATAATGATCTTAACCATTAGTCCAGGCATATTTGATAATTATATGTGATTATGCGCAATAAGTAAGATATAACAATTTAGTGATTTATAGCGTTTTAGCAAATATTTAGCGTTATAGCATTTTGTAGCAAGTATATTATAATAAATATCAGATTCATTTTTATTCGATTATAAGCATATCGAGGGTTTATATAAGGCTATATGCATATTCACATGTATGTAAGGGATTTTTCGATAGCATAATTCGATTAAATTAGTTCTGAGATAATATGGGGCGTACTGCAACAAAACCAGACAAAGTGAACGTTAAAATTATAGGAGTTAAATATTTAAAATGTTTTTATTTACTGTTATATTTTTTTTAGACAATCAAATGAAATAAATAATTTAGTAGCTTGCGATTTTTGTGAATCTCATACTTAGCTTTAATTAGGTGCGTGAACTTTTCAACTGAAATTTATAATGATGACAAGTATTTTTATAAATTAGATTACACAAACTTTTACTGCGTGTCGTACAATCATCTGATCTATATTTGATATAAACAAGGAGAAAATCTGATTTGCGATCAAAAAACAAAAAACATCCTTTTCAACTAGACAAAATGAATCACAAAACAACAAAGCCAAAGAAAGATATCTGGTATCAAGTTGTTGGACGCGAAGTAAACTATGTCGAACAACCTGCAGGTGGACAGTATATTCAACTTTGTAGAGCTATCAAGGAAGCAGAAAATCTCCAAGCCACTGCTAGTACTCTTATTCTCGAAGCGAAGAAAGCTGACGAAAATGAATATACTATTCTGAATTCCACTTTTTTTCATAATCAATGTGATAGTGACTTTAATAAATTGGTTGGTAAATTCAGAATTAAACAAAACAATCCAATAAAAGTGACACTTCCGGGTATGTCCTTGTTCCCATTTAGTTTATTGCTTATTTCTTGTGTCATTGCAGAATAGAAACACAGCAAATACGTAGCTTTATTCATTTATTGAATTTCTAAATTCTGTTAGCGACAGAAAATGAAGAGATGCAAAGATTGAGGAATAAAATTCAGGAAATGGATTCTAAAATTAAAAGAATGTCAATACATTCAGTTCAAGGTATATCTCAATTTATTACTTTAATTTACATACTTTACTGCTATTTGTGTGCTGTAACATTTCTAATACATCTTTTTTTCCTTAATAGGAATAAGTTCAGAAACATTATCAAGTCCAGCAGTTGCAACCTCTAGTACATCAAAAACTCCAGGTACATATCTAATTATTCATAGTGGGAATTTACACAAGAGAGATCACTTGTTGTTATTACTGCTAACTTCTCTTATCTTTTGTTAGCGCTCGTACCTAAAGAGATAGAGGAATTGTTAATGAAAGCAATATCTCATCAGAAGAAAACAGGAATTCAAGGTAATTTGTTTCTAGCGTGCGTACTTGTTTATTGTTTAAGTTAATATTCTTTATTTACATTCTATTTAAATATTACGTAGCTTCTGATGAAATATATGTCCGCTATAGTGATCAGGCCTTCTCCTTTAATCAAGATATCTTGAAATTTTTTGGAGTATCTAATGTGGAACATCTGATAGGAGTAATTAAACCTAAATTAGAAACCTCTATTAAAAATTTATCAGATAAAGTCATCACCCTTCGTCGCGGGGAGAGTAAAGTCTTAAGTTCAGAAACACCCATTGATGGATTATACAACACAGAAGATCAAGCATTGCATGTTGCAGTTGGTAAGTAAAATATGCAATTGTATTTATGATAATCCTGTAACTTCTATTAACGTATTTTTTTATTTTGGAAAATGTGTAAAGTTGACACACTCCTTATGAACTTAATTGTGAATGTACCCAGGAAGGAACTTCATTTTGATAATCAACGTATAGGTTCAACACTTGATGAAGTCATTGAGTTTATCAAAAGCAAGGAGTCACTTGCACAACATATCGATAACGATACAAGTTTCCTAGGTAATGACAAACAACCTCTGAACCAAGATCATCTAGCGACTGCACTAGAATCTAGTACCCTCAACATTACTTTATCTAGTCCAGATACCATAGATACTGGATCCGAAATGCATAAGAAAATTCTCAAGAAATCATTTGACGTAGATTATCAGGATAAAAACGGAATGATTGGTAAATTTAAAATTTATCTAAACAGTAAGCACAGAACTTGGAAAAATGATGTCCAGCATTATGTTCTGTATACTACGATATTTCAAAGTTCTGGATACGGGAAATCACGGCTGGTTAAAGAAATGGCTAGGCAGATTCCCACAATTTATCTTTGTCTTCGGGATACAAATAGTACTGGATATCCTCCACGTACTAGTGTTGGTGCAGAATTATTTGAATGAGCGCTTAAAGAATTGAGAGAAGGAGAGGAATGGAGGTTTACCTATATTTTGCAGATTGCCATTCAATGTTTCAAAGAGGAATTAACAAAATGTAATAATAATTCTGAAACCTTGTGGAATAATCAGATGGATACAAATTATTGTGCGGCGATATAGACTGAGATCAGTAGAAGATCATCAAGCTGGAGAAATATAATTGATTCTGAAATAGATATGTTAGCTAGCTTCATAACTAATGATAATTCAAATAATAATGTTTGCTTCCTTCTTTGTATTGATAAGGCTAGAACTCTTATATCACCAATTAATAAGCACAAATTTTCACCATTTAGATTGTTTCGCAGAGCATTGAAGAATGTAAGGTGGCATGGATTTTTTGCCTTGCTTTTGGATACATTAAGCAGGATATCAAATTTCGCACCTCCAAAATCAATTGATCCATCACACCGTGATGTTGAAGACTTATCTCTCGAATTATTTTATCCATATTTCCGGCTAACCACAATTGATAGTTTTAGCTCTAATAATTATGAGAATGAGAATGATGAACGCAGAAATTTGGCTAAATATGGTCGACCTTTATACATGTCATACTTGTAAAGTAATATAGATGATCCTCAAGTCATTCATAAACTCATGAATCTTCTTAAGCGAAAGTTGCTTGGTGGAGCAAATAATTTTGAAAATAGTCGAAAAGGTATTACTAGCCTAGCAATTCTATCATCTGTTGTAGGACTTGATATGTCACCGCAGTCTAAATTTGCTTCAGAGCTTGTAGCTTCACATATGGCCACTTGTCTTGCCGTATCAGAGGATAGAGAACGGTTAATTGTTGTTTATCCTTCTGAACCCTTGTTATCAGAGGCTGCTTTTGAATTAATGTCTGCTTCAACATTGTCACAAATATTAACTCAGTTCAACATTTTACTTAAGAAGGGTATTGTAGAACCTGGTCCTCGAGGAGAAATTGTTGCACGAATTATTCTAGTTCTTGTAGCTTATAGATTGAGGGCACAAAGAGCAGAAAATAGTGTTAAAGCATTTCTTAACGAGCTTTATAAAGAAGGTTCTATGCCAGATTTGAGAGATGCTAAGCAAGAATTTATTGAAGGAACAGTTGCATTCATACATTTTAATGCAATTGAATATGTACCAACAAAGAAAACTTTAGAAGAGTTTTATATAAGAAGGTGTGCCTTTATTATGAAACGAAACCACCCTGGTGCAGATATTTGCATTCCTGTTAAATTAGTAACTGGCGGATATAGTATAATTATCATTCAAATCAAGAATATTAATTCTTCATCTGTAAAAGCTGATGAAAATTATCCTTTTTCTGCTAGATCTATGTTTAGTTGTAATTATGTGTTTGATAATTCGGACTTAAAAGAGCATGATGAACAATATCTTTGTTTATACTGGCAACTTCATTTTCAAGGACATTATCAGGAGATTCCTAAACTTCAAGATACCCGCTCTTCAGAATCTAGAAAGCTAAATATATATTGGGCTTCTTTTGGCTTTAATCATTTTAAAATGATTAAAGACATTGCTAGTATTCTTAAAGACATTTTGGTTTCTCACATTTCACTATTTGAATCCGAATGGTAAGTTAATAATGTAGATAAAGGAGATATCTGGGATTGGAAAGAACTAAAGATTATGCATTCTCTTGGATATTATGAATATAATTACGAAGAAAAAAAATAAAAAAATGAAAATCATAAGCAAAGTTATATTTTTTATGGCTTTCTTTAATGCTAATAATATTGACAACTAAAACATATTTTAATTTTCATATAAATAAATTTTATGCTTTGCTTTTTTTATAAAATTTTTATTTTTTGATGTTTCTAAGTTGAATTTTTTTTGTTACAACATAATAAATTACAAATAAAATAATTGGAGTAAAAAACCCTAAAGAATAGAATTTAATTTTTTTGTTATCATTATTTAACTCCTCTTTTTCTTTTTTAATATTAAAGTCTTTGTTTTTCAGATTACTGATTTCATTTTTAACTAGATGAACATTTTTCATATCTTTAGCATATCGATTACAATGATAATCAGGAAGAACATAAGTTTTATCTAGTCCGTGATTATCATAAATAAGTTTAAAGGCTTCTTCATTTATATTACCAAGATCTAAAGTAAGAATTCAAATATCAAAATCGGAACGTATAATTTTTGCTCTTTTTCAATACTCAGGAATTTCCTGATTATTACCATTAATAAAAAAACATTGAGGAAATTTTTTGAAAGTTTTATTAAATTCATCTATTCTGAGATTGTTAAGTACAGATGTAAGGTTTTTATCTCTTTGTGTTCAAGAAGCAAGTCCAAAAACGATTTCCTCAATCAAATTTTCTTTTAAAAGTTTTAATAAATCTGTTGCAATAGTAGTGAAAGGTTGATTAGAGAGATAATTCCAATTTCCCATATATTTTTTTTCAAGTTCTGCAGTTTTCTTTTTATATTCATTAGGGTCAGTAATTGTTTTTCTTAAATTAGCACGATCTTTTTGATAATTTTCAAAACTTTTAAGATTTTTTTTAATCACTTTACTTTTTTCTTCATCTCCTCATATGCCATCAGGGCTTTTATAATCTCTTTTTTCTCAAAAAATTTTATGATACTCTTTAAAAGATATTACCTTGTCAGAAATTCCATAAAGACATGATGATTTCATAGGTCTTATAACATCATTTATATTGCAAATAATTTTTAATTTTTTGCCTTTTTGTTGACTAACTTTTTTAATTAAAAAGTATAAAGAATTAGACATAACATTTATATTTTTATTTTATATTTTATTTTATTTTTTGTTGGTTTTGGACATGTAATATCTTTATATTTATCTTTAACAAATGGACAAATATTTTTATAAAGATAATCTTATCGCTCATATTTTATAGGAGGAGACACTAGAGTCAGAAATGATAAGGCCTTGATTTTTTCTATGACTTTATTAGCTGTGAATTTATTAATTTTTAATTATTTGAATTCCTGAAAAGTACCATTAGCGATTTTTTGTGCTTTGATTACACCAGGATTAGCATTAGTAAAAATAAAATGCTGAAACTTTTGAAGGCCAGGTAACTTTTTAAAATAAGTTTTCAGGCCACTTATTATGTCAAAATATTGAAAACCGTCTTTGCCATTATAACGCTGAACTTTATTTAGCCCAACAATGCTAGATCTTTTTACTACGTCTACAACATGATTTACACAATCAACTGTAGTTTTACGATAAAGCCTTTTTATCAGTCCAAAACTACCATCACATTTAAATTTAGTATGACCTAGAATCATAAAGTTAAGCTCAATACTTTCGTAATAGCCAGCAATTACCAAGTACATATAAAACCAAAGTGTTATATTGTTTTTATTTTGTCCACCTGCATTGTCACAAGTAATTTTGAGATGCTTCTCACCTTTATTCAACCACTTAATTCCATCAAAAACTAGGCTAAGTGTACTATTTGGACCTTTTTCAAGAAGTTCATTTTCATCCAGTATATAATTGATTTATTCATGTACTGCTTCATCTTAGATGCCAAATAAATGTACTTTTCGAGTACTAAGATAATACACTTTTCCAATCTGTTGATCTGAATGAGGCACATATACATTTTGAGCTCAGTCGTAACTGTAATGGGCAATAGCATCAATGCTATAATATGATACTTTCATTAAAGAAGCAAAATAATTTTGTTCTACAAGTTTTCTGTATTCTTCAGCCAACTTGGTATTTTTGTTATAATAATTTCGCTCTAATTTGGCTTTGACTAGATGTTCTTTATATATTTTTAATAAATCTTGGGTCTCTTTCTCTTTATGAGCTTTGAATTGCAAGTCATTTCGCAAATGCTGACAAGTATCACATAGGTCTGTTCGGGGACTCATAATTTGAATGTATGGAGTAAGCTGATGCCATAATTTACGAAAGGCATCATACTTGAAGGCATGCAAATTACTGTCATCTTCTAGACCGGCTAAAAAGTCATGGTAAACAGATTTGTAGCTCATTTCTGCTGGTAAAAAAATAATGGATTGAGTCACACAATTAACATTTCTTACTGGACTAGGTAAGCCATGAACTTCTGCATAATTCAAAAGAAAATTCTTCATGGTGGTAGCCACATCCTTGTCAATAGTCATCTTGGTCTTTCACTTAGGCATTCTTTTTATATTACCATGAATTCGTGAAAGAATGCCATTTTTTACTAAATGCTCTCTAATATTTTCAAAGTAATTGCGGCCAATGCCAAGCATATTAAGGTATGTTTTTTGACAAATAGGTGTATTATGATCCCAGCAATAGAAAGTCCTTTTATTGACCTGTGATTTCTTTTTTAGACGCCGACTAGTATTGATTACTCCTCCATCCATAGATTTAAGTTGGGCCATTAAGAAAATATCTTATTCAGGTTTTGTTAGAGCTTGAAAGTTTTCTCGCAATTCAGCAAATTCTTCTTTTGGAATTTTATTTGAACAACTACAATTACAGCCATTCTTTAAGAAATTTACTGCTTTTTCATACTCAGTGAAATTATTATGTTTATTTTCTTTCATATATATAATTTTATCACTTTGTCTGATTTTGTTGCAGCACGCCCCATATAACGGCTAAAAATTTGTATCACATGAGATTTCCCTCAGATGTGTGAGACAATTTAGTCAAAAAACAATTCGGGTCTAATTTAGCCGATACATGTTGATCGGACTACACCACAAAAAAATGTCTACAAGTAATAATCCCTTGGTCGATAATGTGGAAGGTTATAATACAGACCAACTTATAAATTATTTACGAACAAAGAACTTAAACCTCAACAACACTAACTATAGAAAAATTCGTAATGAGAGGGTCGCCAGTTCTGACTTCCTCCAATTAACTAGAGAAATACTTCGTGCTGAACCTTACAGATTCTCTGATGGATCAGCAAGAAGGGTCGCAATGTTAGTTGATAGTTTGAACAATCAAAGTAAGTTCTACCATATAATAGTATAATGTTATATGCCTCACGTGTTCAACAAACGTCTTTCTAGTCTAGTATTTATTAACTCATCCCATTTTTTTAGGGCTTCTAAGTCTCGAAGAATATCTATCATGTGCTCTGCCATATATCGCATATTCTCCGTATGGCACCATTTCAACAAGCTTCATAAATGCAGTCGGCAACCCTCCGGACAAAGTGATGATTTGGGAAGATTTTCTCGAAAGTGTAAATAATTATACATTCGATCAAGATGAACGAAAATTCGAAAAACCGATTTTTATTGAAGATTTTATTACAACCAATGAAGAAATTGTCCGCCAGGCTGTGAATGTTAATGTTTGCCTGCCGTTGAACAGGATCGTGTCTGATTTTAAGTTTACAATGCAAAACGTTCCTGGCACTGGTGACCAAGATTTTGTTTGCCACAAAAAAGATGGTGATGAATTGATCTTGGCAATCGAAATCAAAAGAGTACACATTTTAAACCACATTGAATCTGACCAAACGTTACCTAAAGTTTACGAAAAGGATGCTAAAGTGAAGCAGGTCATACAGCAACTCTATAACTACTTGTCAGAAAACCAACTTAAATATGGAGCACTT